GAAGAAGAAGGAAGAAGAAGAAGAAGAAGAAGAAGAAGAAGAAGAAGAAGAAGAAGAAGAAGAAGAAGAAGAAGAAGAAGAAGAAGAAGAAGGAAGAAGAAGAAGAAGAAGAAGAATTGCAACCTGAAGGATAAAGTTAGGTGGTTATGATTAACTATTTAAAATGATGGGGATTTGCCTAGCATACATAGGCACTGGGTTTGATTCCCAGCACAGACTAATTCATTAATTAAACAAGGACTGGTTCGGCTCAATAGTAGAGCTCTTGCCTATCATGCTCAAGGATCTGGGTTGGATCCTCACATCATAAAAATAAAAAACAAAATCACTGGGATTGACAGACATACACAACACACATAAATGCACAAATGAGTTAAATGTTTACATTTCTATTTCCCCTGGTTATTTTACATTCCTATTTTTCATGGTTATTTTGCATAAAAGGTGTATCACTAAAGATTAGACACATTCACTGAGTCATTTGATCTAACCTGACACTTATTTTAATCTTTACATCTAACTTCAGTAAAAATTTCTGATTGTTGGCTGGGTACCATGGCACATGCCTATAATCCCACCTACTCAGAAGGAGTACCACAAATTTGAGGCCAACCTCAGCAATTTAGCAAGGCCTGACGCAATTTAAAGAGACGTTGTCTCAAAATAAAAAGGTCTGAGAGTATAGTTCAGTGGTAAAGTGCCCCCCAAATTCAATCTCCAGGACCAAAAATAAATCTGATTACCATAGGCTAACCAAGACAATCTGCATCTGCATATCTGTATTCAGGGGTACCGGGGCTCATGCCTGTAATCCCATCTACTCCAAAGGCTGAGGCAGGAGAATCACAAATTCCATGCCAGCCTGGGAAATTTAGTGAGACCCTGTCTCAAAAATAAAATAAATAGGGCTGTGGGGAGAAGGGTGACCTGGGGATACGGCTCAGTGTTACAGTCCCTGCCTGCCTATCATGGGCAAAGTCCTGGGTACAATCCTCATCAACACACACACACACACACACACACACACACACACACACACACACACCCCTACAATATGGGGCAGAAGTGGGGGGAGGGGGGTTTCTCAGTATACCCTGAGAAGGCAAGAGCTTTCCAGGGTGACTGAGAAAGCCCAGTACTAGTCCTGGCTAGTCTCTATTGTGACAGAGAACAACTCACTTAGGCTCTCTTGATTTCAACTTAGGTCCTTGCAAAGTGGGTCTACTGGACTGGCTGGTTTCTAAAGGTCTTTGATCTGGCCCCAGTCTGAGAAGTAACCAGAATCCTAACATCTTCTGCTGAAATTCACCCATCTCATAAGCAGGGTCAACTTCACTTCCAGGTACTCAAATCCCTAACTCCTGTTTCAACAACAAAGTGATAATGTTTTAATTTTCTAACTATCAGGGCTGTTAAGAAGAAACAAGGAGTGAAAGGTACATCTAATTCAACTACAGGAAAATTTAGGAAAGAATTTAAATGGTGAGGATTAATATAAGTCCAACTTTTTAAACTAAAATTCAGTCAAATTACTAGCACCTTGGATGAGGAAGATGATAAATGGATTGAGTGAGAAGACCAAGTATTTGATCCAAAAGTGATTGGTAATAACTATCACTTTATTTGACTTTGTAAATCTTGTTCATTTTTTTTGGGGGGAGGAGGTTGTAAGTATTATTAAAGTGTATATAAGTAACAGAAAAGTTCATATATCCTCCAGGTACCATGGCACACACCTATCATCTCAATTGGGAGGCTGAAGCAGGAGGATCAAAAGTTCAAGCTCAGCTGGACAGCTCAGTGAGAACTTGCCTCAAAATAAAAAGGGCCAGGGATATAGCTCAGTGATAAAGTACCCCTGAGTTCAGTCCCCACTACCAAAAAGAAAACGTGTATGAATCCTAAGTATATATCAGGATAAAAATCACACAAAGCTGACACGCTGTGTGACTGGTACCCAGAACATGACAACACCCCAGAACCTTCCTGGGTTTCCACAGGGGTCTTACCCGCCTCTGAAGGCAACTACTGGCCTAATTCTGAACATCTTGCTTTGGCACTTTATATAAATGGAAACAAATGGTATACCCTTGTTATGGTTTGGATATGTGGTGTCCCCAAAAAAGCTCCTGTGTTAATGCAAGAATGATTGGATTGTGAGAGCTGTCACTAAACAGCCCATCCTAGTTTGAATGGACTGACTGGGTGGTAACCATATGGCAGGAGGGGCATGGCTGCAGGAGGTGGGTCACCAGGGGGTGTGCTCTGGAAGGGTGCATCTTCCTGAGGCCCCTTGCCCTCTCTCATCTTCCTGGCTGCCATGAGGTAAGCAGCTTTCCTCCACCATGCCCTCTGCCCTAACATTCTGCCTCACCTGAGGCCCAAAGCCATAGAGTTGGCCCACTATGTTCTAAATCTCTGAAACTAGGAGCCCAAATAAATTTTCCCTCCTCTAAATTGTTCTTGTTGGGTATTTTGGTGACAAGAATTAAAAACTGATTAACAATAGCTGGGGATATGGTTCAGTTGGTAAAGTGGTTGCCTCGCATGCACAAGGCCCTGGGTTCAACCCCACCACCACAAAATAAAACAAAACAAAAAAAAGTTAATTAACAACCTTCCACTGTCTTTTTTGATCAACACCATGTTTATGAGATTCATCCGTCTTATTTTATGTAGTTGTGGTCTGGTCATTCTCAATGTTGTGCAATATTCAATTGTGTGTGAACATACCCTAATTTATTAATTTATCCTATTTTGGAAGAACATTTACGTTGTTTTGGTGCTCTGAATGTTTTTAAAATGAACTTCGTGTAATTGCATCACTTTTTCTTAAAGTACATGTCCATAAAAAATGTGAAACACAAAATAGAGTACCTGGAAGACTCCGGCAGCCTCTTGTAACTCGGCTTCAAGCTTTTGAATCTCCTCCTTTAAATGAATATTTTCCTTTGTAATTTCATCAATTAATCCCTAAAAAATATCAAATGGTACCCGCAAAGTTTAATAGAGCTCATTAGTTTAAAACTCATAAAGTTTAAAATGAGCTCATTTTTCCAAATTAATTAAAAATGCTGAATTTCCCCACCTGAGCAAGACAAAGAAAGGCAATAGATACTCTCAGAATTAATTGTGCTCTCATGAATAATATCTTCGTTGTATATTTTACCTTATCACCAGTGATTCTGCTAACATTTTCAATTTTTCTATCTCTATAATATGAATAAGGAAACTGCTTTTCACTCAGGACCAAAGTCAAAGACATTTTTATAATTGAGGCAGGGATTGAGACTAGTTCGCTTCCTTGCTATTTGTGACTACTAAATGACTTTTAAATTACGCCAAAACTGTCAACTTGTTAATCTGTGGCAATATTTTTAAAAAATAAATAAATAAGTTAGCTGTGATTCCCATAGTCTACAGCTGCCTTAAAAGGTCAAACACATAGCCTTTGGGTAACAGGCTTAAACTACCTGGACTTCTGCTCTCTCTTTGGTTAGATCAGATAATTGCTAATTAATCTTTGAACTTCCAGGTGCAAATCCAAGAAATGAGGGAATGCATGAGAAAGCAGCTACATTCTGTTGTAAACTCTGTAAGCAAAAAATTAGAAATACAAACCTTCTTACAAGGCTTAAATAACACAACAAAACTTAAAAAAAAAAAAATTTCCAAAAATGTTGGATTCTAATAGCTTCCAAAATGCAAGGTAATATTGGACAAAGACATGTAAAAGTGCTTTACTAAAAATTAATTTTTTTATTAATATCTAGTTATTTTCCTTTTTACCTCATTTTGGTCGTCTTTCATCAATTCTTCATTTGTCTGATGTTCCTTAAGAACTTGTTTGTTGTTGTCTTTATCAGCTTCCATGATTTTCTAATTATCAAAGATTTAAAAATTAAAAAAAAAAAACTTTCAGGGTGGGAATGTAGCTCAGTGGTAGAATGCTTGCCTAGCATGCAACAAGCCCTGGGTTCAATCTCTAGCACCACAAAAATGAAGGAAGAGAAAGAGAAGGGATGGGGGAGGAGAAGGAGGAGGAGAATAAATTTAATTTAAAATACTTTTTAAATAGTACATACACATACAAGGTGAAGAAGAAAGAAATAACAACTTTTATAGAGTCTACATTTCAAATAATTTTCACACCTATAAGTATATAAAAATTTCTTAAAATCATTTGCTTTCAAGGATGTATAGAAAATAATGTGTATTAACATTCCTTACAGTTCACATTCCAATTACAATATTATGCTCCATTTTAAAAGACTACTATTTTGATCTTCCAACCTTTCTAAAGGTTTTGATTTAAACATTTAATTCTCTCTACTGGATTTCCCAAAAGTAAACCAAGTCTAAAGGCCCCCAATGCATTCTTTCTCTACACAGGTGATCTCACTTGGAGTTTTAATAAACACTCCCTGGGGTCAATTAATTTACATGTGTTTTTAAAACCTCTAACTGAAAATTAACATTCTTTTCAAGTATAAATATAGGCAATTATGGTAGTATTCATACCAACTGTAACAAAGTCACTAGTAGAAAGTACAGATAGTTTCATAGAATATTATAATTGTTGCAAATATACTGAAATATTGTTTTTAACACAGCTTCTACAGTAGTTATTAAACTCACTGATAGATCTTGTGAAATACTGTAATATATTAATACATATTAGTATCAAAAGTTTGTTTAAATATTCTGATAACCATATTTCAATATAATTGGTTTTCTTAATTAAGAATGTGAAGAGAGAACCTAGAGAATGGGAGAAAATCTTTGCTAGTTATGCTTCTGACAGGATTAATATCTGGAATAGGTATAAAAATTTTTTTAAAAACTTATCATAAAAACAAGTACCCTAATTAATAAATGGGCAAATGAGCTAAGAAGAAATACAATGAACAACAAATACATGACAAACTGCTCAACATCAGTAACAATTAGGGAAATGCAAATCAAAACTACACTGAGATTTCATCTCACCCCAGTTAAAATGGCAGCCATCAAGAATACAAACAATAACTAGTCACAGTAGCAAACACCTATAATCCCAGCAACTTGGGAGGTTAAGGAAGGAAGACCATAAGTTCAAAGCCAGCCTCAGCAATGTAGCAAGGCCCTGTTTCAAAATAAAAAGGGCTGGGGATGTGGTTCAGTGGTTAAGCACCCCTGAGTTCCATACTGGTACCAAAAACAATCAAACAAACAAAAAAAGAATGCAAACAATAATAAATGCTGAAGAATTTGTGGACAAAAAGGAACAGTTTTACACTGTTGGTGGTATTATAAATTTATACAACCCTGAAATTCAATCAGTATGGAGATTCCTCAAAAGACTAAAAGGAACTACCATATGACCCAGCTATATTACTTCTCAGTATTTATCCTAAAGTGTTAAATTCAGTCTACTATAGTGATACATGCGTACCCATGTTTATGCAGCAAAATTCATAATGGTCAAACAATGAAACCAGCTTAGGTGACCATCAATGGATGAACAGAGAAAGAAATATGGTATATATACACAATGGAGTTTTACTCAGCCATAAAGAAGAAGGAAATCATGTCATTTTCAGGAAAATGGATCGAACTTGAGAACATTATATTAAGTCAAATAGGCCAAACTCAGAAGGTCAAGGGTAGTATATTTTCCTCTCACAGGTGGAAGCTAAAGAAGAAAAAGGAAAAGAGGGGCAGGGGTGGGGAGATCTCATGAAAATCAAAGGGAGATCATTAGAGTAGAAGAAAGGTACCAGGAGAAAAGGAGGTAATGATATTGGCCAAATTATTCATTGTGACAAACATGTAACAATGAATCCCACTGTTATGTACAATTATAATAAGCCAATAAAAATGGAAAAGAAAAAAATCGGTTTCCTTTGTTAGTCTATGTATTTTTTTTTTTTTTTAATCTCAGGAGTGTTTCTTTCTTTCTTTTTTTTTTTTTTTGAATTTTTTTTAATATTTATTTTTTAGTTTTCAGCAGATACAACATCTTTGTTTGCATGTGGTGCTGAGGATCAAACCTGGGCCGCACGCATGTCAGGCAAGCGTCCTACTGCTTGAGCCACATCCCCAGCCCTAGTCTATGTATTTTTATACACTTAAAAAACTTCATTTTTTTATTAGGAAAGGCCTATAGGCATCAGGTGTGGTGGCACATGCCTGGAATTCATGACACTGGGAGGCCAAGGCAGGAAAATCACAAGTTCAAGGCCAGCAACTTGGTGATACCCTGTCTCAAATAAAAAATATAAAAGAGCTAGAGGAGTAGCTCAGTGATAAAGCTCCCCTCGGTTCAACCCCTAGTATCAGAAAAGGGGGGGGGCATAGGTTTTGTCACTCTAGCAAAGCAGTAAATGGTATTAAAAAAAAAAAAAAAAAAAAAAAAAGTCAAGAAGACCAGTCTGTACAATTACTAAGATGAAAACTTGCTAGATTGTTTGATACAAAAAAACATCATGATTGTCTTTCTGGTTTTAGATGAACCTTAATAGCCAGTCTGCTGTATCATTTTCCAAGACTATAAGTAGTTAAATTCCTAGTATTTTCAAAAAGAAACATTATTGCTTTTTAAAAATAAAAGACAGCAGGACACCATGGCACATGTCTGTAATCTCAGCAACTAGAGAGGCTAATAAGGCAAGATAATTCTAAATTCAAGGCCAGCTAAGTTTAGTAAGACCCTGATTCAAAATAAAAAATAAAAAGGTCTGGGTCACTGATAGAGCACCCCAGGATTCAATCCTCAGAGATATATATATTTTTTTAAGACTCTCTCTGTGTGTAGCTTTTTTTTTTAAGACTAGCAAAAAATTAGTCTTGCCTTAGTTTACCCAGTGCAGGAATATAAGAAAAATAGAGGGTCACATAGCACTCAAATCTTGGTTTCTAATACTATCTCCAATAAAATGAACCAAAGCTCCTTAAATCAATGGTCGATTTTAGTCCTAGGACAGGAAATATATAAGATAAGCCTGGAATATCTTCTGTCACTCTGTGATCGCAGTTTACCCTATTACACGTTACATGACTTTGATTAATCCCCCTATTTACTTTGATCATCTCATTATGGTGACATCTGCCAGGCACCCAGACTTTGATTTCTAATGCTATTCTCCACTCAGAGGAGCCAAGGCTCTTTGGAGAAATGACTGCTCCAGGGATTGGAACAGAAAAACTACAAAATGTGCCTGGGACATCTTGTGATGCCAAAAAGCAAGGAAATGCTTAAAGAATGATGAGGACATGTCAAAAGGACACAGTTGGCTTTAGTTGGTTTTCACTGACCAAATCTGGGAATAAATTAGGGATTAAGACAAATAATGGTAGTCATGATTAAAGCCACTGAGTAAAAAACAAAACTGTGAGATGAAACCTAAGTAAATAAATTTAAAAAATGAAATTTTGGTGAAGACAGAAATATTTAATTAGTTTCAAAATACTTCCCCACAAAATACATACTACTTTCAAAGGGGAAAAAACAAGTAACTCACAGCAGAAAAGCCTGGCAAAAGCCACCATACTGAGATAATTTAAATAATGTGATAAATCAATATCATGTAACATGAAATAGATGCCCTGAAGTCATAGTGTGATTTTGATGATAATCCTGCCAAAGATGCCATCTTCTGAATCTAAGACAAAAAAAAAAAAAAATTCAAGTTTAGGCACATTCTACAATGCAACTGGCCTATTCTCTTAAATAAAAGTGTCAAGTTCATGAAAATCAGAGAAACTTCCAGACTAAAGGAAACCAAAGAATATCACAACTAAATACGTAGTCCATGATTCTGATATTGGGACAACTGGGATATCTGAATTAAATATGATGATTAGATGGTAGAAATATCATTATTAATTTCATGATTGTGATGACTATATTGTGGTTATATAAAAGCACATTTTTTTTTTTTGGTAGGAAATCTATGCCCAAGTATTTCACAGTGATAGATCATCAAGTTGGAAATTTATTTACAAATAATTCAGGGCAAACAAAAATTGTCCTACTGTACTTCAAAATTTTCTGCAAGTTTGAGATGGTCTAAGATGAAAAATATATACATTTTTTAAAACTACAGAACTACAGACACACACACACAAATATATATATACATATCACTGTTGTATAAACAATTGCAGAATCTTCCTAATGGTGTTCACCCAAAGTCTAACACAATCTGACCCCAACTTACTTACCATATTTAAACAACTCCTCAACCATATTTGAGGGTTCCTTGAAGGAGGATCCCTCCTCTGTCTCCTGTACCCCACTATATCACCTCCTTCCACCCCTCCCAACCTTAATTAAGTTCAACCCAAAGAAATTCTGCTGTTCAAGGTCCATTCCAAATCTCCCCAAAGTTCTTAAAGACTTATCTGATTCCTCCAAAATATTACATCCCCTCCCCCACTTCATTTTTTGGTTAGGAGTACTTGAATTTATTTTTGTATCTGTGTCTTTTTCTGTGACTAAAGACAGGAATCATGTTCACTCTCTCTTGCAATCTATTCAAAGCACAACTTTACACAATGAAAATATTCAATTTATGGAAATGTATGGTATCTTGCATATTTGTTCTGCACAGACCTCGAATGCATGTGAAGTTCTCTTATTATATTTCTTTTTTTTTTTAATATTTATTTTTTAGTTCTCGGCGGACACAACATCTTTGTTGGTATGTGGTGCTGAGGATCGAACCCGGGCCGTACGCATGCCAGGCAAGCACGCTACCACTTGAGCCACATCCCCAGCCCGCTCTTATTATATTTCCAAAAGACAGAAACTGCACTGTTATTTAATTGCTTTCTTAAATTATTATTGTTGGTGGTGCATGCCTGTAATCCCAGCAATTTTGGCGGCTGAGGCAGGAGGTTCACAAATTCAAAGCCAGCCTCAGCAATTTAGACCCTGTCTCAAATTTTAAAAACAAAATAAAATTAAAAGGACAGGGAATATTGATTGTTCAGTGGTAACGTGCTCCCGGGTCCAATCCCCAGTAAAGTGTCCCCCCCTAAAAAAAAAATCATTTTTACAGTGTATTAAAGGTTCTCAATGTAAATGGTCCCCCCAACTCCTTAGGCATGTTCACCACCTGAATAATATCCCTCTTTGAAGCGAGTCAGGTGTGTGGTAATACTTTCCTTTTGTGCAATCATGTGGGGGGCAGAATAATGACCCTTTCAATATCCACATCTTAATCCCAAAATGTAAAAATCTTAGATTCATTGCAAAGGAGACTTAAGGCTGCAGATTAAATTCAGGTTGCCAATCAGCTGTCTTTAAAATATGGAAGTCTTCCGGAATTATCTCTGAAAACCAGTGTGATCCAGAGAGTCCTTAAAAGTAAAAGAGGAAGACAGAAGAGTCAGTGAGATGTGAGGACTGAAGAATGGCCAGAGATGCAAAAGTTGCTGGCTTTGAAGATGGAGAAAGAGCAACTGAGTCAAGTGTGGTGGGCAGATTCTAGAACTCAGAAAGGAAATTGGTCCCAAGAGCCTCCAGAAAAGGAAAGCAGCCCTGCCAATACTTTGGCTTTAGCGAAGTGAGACCTTCATAGGACTTCTAACCTACAGAATTCTAAAATTAAAAGGAGGGAGGGGGATAGACCACTAAATCCATGTAATTCATTATGGTGGTGAAATAAAAACCAATACAAACCACCATCATCTCGTTTCCCTAAAATATCATTTCACTGTGTTGCATAGTGGTTTTGAATGGAATCTTTGCATATTCAGGCCCAGCAGCAAGAAGAAGAAATACAATGTATGCATGTTGTATATACTTTGAACATAGTGTCAAAGGACAAAAGTACAACAGTTTAAAGCTCTTACTTGGCTTTATTTTACTATTGGAGAATCCCACAACACTTTATTTCATAAATAGATTTAAATGTTCCCATGGGCTGAGTAGAAGTTGGTTTTGCAGACAAAGTTTTAAAAAGCAGAAGGGGGGAAGGTTTGTACAAAAAGTAGACTGGTCATTGCGATGTTACTTTCTTTGTAAGGCTGGGACAGATAGGAAATCAGAACAATAGAAAAATAACTGCTTGGTTACCAAGAGGCTATTTCAGGTTACTTTTTTTTTTTTTTTGTATGAATTAAATCAGAGGGAAGTCATTATCATGCTAATTGAAACTAGCCTGCTTAGGAAACTTGGCTGTTATCTTTCTCAGAAGGACAGTTACAACTTAATTTTACTTCAGTGACATGGAACTTTAGCATGGGTTACTCCATATTGATTTTTTAGTCTGGTCTCTTGGGGCCTAGTGCATGAACTTAATCCAAATAATGGCCCCCTACAGTTTTGATTTTACAATAGTATTCTCCTTTGGATGCCTTCTACAAGAAAACCTTGCCAGTCCTGAAAAGTGAGGCATGGGTGCAGAACTCTGCGTCTGCCAAGAAGAATAGAAATCCGTTTTCCTAAGAACTCTTCCTGGAGACCCTCCAAGAAAGCAGTAGGGAGACATAAATCATTTTAAGTTTCAATTTCCCGAATGAAACAAAGCAAACAGACCACGGGTCTGAGGGCCCGACAGCGTAAAGAAGGCTAAATGGCCTTCGAGGCAGGTGCGCCGCAGGGGTTTACGTGGCCCCAAACACCCAAAGTGCGGGGATCCCAACCCTGGCTCCCCCCAATTCCCGCGCGTCGCTGCGGTGGAACCCGCCTCCCTTCCCACCCGGGCTGCTGGTAGCAGGGATTAGCAGCCAGGGACTGGGCGCCCCACTCACCAGCGTCCACCAGCCAAGCGCAGCGCCCCCGGGCTCCAGCGCGCTTGACCTTCCGGGAAACCGGCCTTGCCCAGCGCGGCTGGGCGGCGACGTAGTGGGTGCTGGAACTGGCGCAGTCTCCTGCAGGAGCGCCCCGAAACAGCTTAGGTGCCCTCGAGGAGGTGCCACTCACTCAAACCACTTGGTTCCTTAAAAAAAAAAAAAAAAGAAAGAAAGAAAGAAAGAAAGAAAGAAAGAACAGAAAAGGGGGGGAAAGACTTTTCTTTAAAACTTAAGCACGACTAGGAACACTAAAGCTTGTGGCTCCCGTGATTATCCACTAACAGAAACAAAAAGTTAGAACTAATTTCACTTTCGGTTCTTGAGACATGGTTGTTTTGTTTTTGTTGCGCCAACATTCTCCTAACAAGTATTCCTAAAGTTTCTAAAACACTAATTTTAGGACATGATTTTTAAAACACATTTTTTAAGTGTATTTTACAGCACAGACTGTTGGAAAAAAATAGATAGAAACCAAAGTCAAAGCAGGAATCTTTCCAGATTATAACTGTTATTTATTAGACATTGTAACCTCAGTTTATGAGTTTTTACAGTGAGTGATGCTTTGTCTCTGCCACATCCCCTGGGCTATGAAATTGGGAAAGCCGTGATGTTGAGTTGGTTTCTATGACCCAAGTCCCTTGAAAGTTTTCTCATAATCTTTTGTTTTGTTGTGAAGCTTGTAAACAAATATTTCACTAGGTGTGAACTTTTCCTTTGAAAATAAAAACATCTGGTTAATTTCAAAAACTGCAATTTCCTAATCCTACACAAAGAACCCACCCCACAGCTGCACTCTCTCATACACAGAGGTGGGAAAGGAGATGAATCAAAATTATCTCAAGGCGGGGCTGGGGATGTGGCTCAAGCGGTAGCGCGCTCGCCTGGCATGCGTGCGGCCCAGGTTGGATCCTCAGCACCACATACCAACAAAGATGTTTTTTCCGCCGAGAACTAAAAAATAAAACGTTAAGAATTCTCTCTCTCTCTCTCTCTCTCTCTCTCTCCCCCCTCTCTCACTCTCTCTTTTAAAAAAAAAATTATCTCAAGGCATCAATCAATTCCTGTTTATGGTGACATGTAGTAGTATGTAGTAACTAGTGTGGTAGTCCAAAATAACAGGCAGAAGCAAAATTCCTTCCCATCAAGAATCTTGAGCCAGGCATGGTGCATGTAAGGCAGGAGGATTGCCAGTTCGAAGCCAGCCTCAGCAACTTAGTAAGACCCTAAATAACTTAGTGAGACCGTGTCTCAAAATTCAAACAAATAAGAAGGGGTAGGGATGTAGCTCAATGGTTAAGCACCCCTTGGTTCAAGCTCTGGTACCAAAAATAAAAAGGACTTTTATGAACAGCAGTCTAAAGTGGCATGTCTAAGTGAAAAAAAAAAAAAATGTTGAGTGACAAGGACTTGTGTTTATCCTGGATAGAAAGTATAAAAACCCCATGCGTTGCAACTTGGGGGGTGGAGATATTAATTCTGTTTTACTCTGGACTTTTAGAGGGAGCATTAACAAATTTGTTAAATAAAATTTAGAGGAGGCCATGTGGGGAAAATGGAGTTACTCCTGATGACATTCTACATCACCAAGAAAAAAACTAAGTTGTTGATCTGAACTTCCAAAAAATTAAGAGAAAGATAAAATAGCCAAATTCCAAACCAAGCCAGTTTTAACCAGCATGATAAGGAGGTCTCTCTGCTTAAATCTTTACAAGGAAAGTAATTTTGAAAGACCGATCCACTTTCTATTTCTTTTTTCTACTTTCCTTAGTTGTTTTTATTTTCCCCCTTGCCCCTAAAGCCAGCATCTGCCCCACTCAGCTCACCATTAACCTGAGGAATAGACTAATCCCTTCTACCTGAGGAAATTTAAGATGTCTCCTCCACAAAAGAGGTAAAGATTAAAGGTAGAGGAGGTGGACTGAGATGAAATCATTGGGAGAAAAGTCCCAGAAGGCAATGGACTCAAGTGTGTCCCCTTGAAATTCGTAAGTTGAAATCTGAACCCCCAATGTGATGATGGTCTTGGGGATGGAGCCCATGGGAGGTGGTTAGGTCAACAGGGTGGAGTCCACATGGATAGGATTGGTGTCCTTATGAAACAGGCCCAAATGATTTTGTTGGTCCCTTCCATTGTTGTGAGGACCCATTGGGAAAGTGCCATTTATGAACCAGGAAGAGAATTTGCTGCCCCACCACCACCACTGAACATGCTGATGACTTGATCATGACTTCTGGCCTTCAAAACTCTGAAAAATAAATCTATGTTTTTGTGTTTGTGTTACTAGGAATAAAGCCAGGGGTGCTTTGCCACTGAGCTACGTTCCCAGGCTTTTGTTTCCCCCAGACCATCTCGCTAAATTGTCAAAGACCAGTGTCAAATTTGTAACCTCCTACCTCAGCCTCCTGCGTTGCTGGGTTTAAGGTGTGTGCACCATCATACCCAATATAATGCTCTGTTGTTTATAAAAGCTACCAATTTTTGATGTTTTGTTATAGTAGACTGAAAGGTCCAAAAAAGCATGAAATAACTTACAAGGCACCAAGAATTTAATGGGTATGCAAATTGGGGAAATGCAATCTGATATCATTTTTTTTTTCTGCCCTTCCTTTCAGGAAAGATCTAAGATACCAAAGCTTGCACACTTTTGCAAAAAGTTGCAGTTCATCCTTGGAGAAGTTGAAACACTTATGATCAGCATTATACAAGATCTTCAAGGATTCAAAGTGATCATGTAACACCAGTCTAGTTTTCAAGAAGTTTGCTTTGGGAATATACAAATGATAAAGGAAAATGCTTATCCCCGCCTTTTATTTTCCAAGTACCAGGGATTGAACTCAGGGGAACTTCATCACTGAGCCACATCCCCAGCCCTATTTTGTATTTTATTTAGAGACAGGGTTTCACTGAGTTACTTAGTGCCTCGCCTCATTGTTGCTGACGCTGGCTTTGAACTTGTGATCTTCCTGCCACAGCCTCTGGAGCTGCTGAGATCATAGGCGAGTGCCAGTATACTGGTGCTTACTTTTTTTTTTTCTTTTTTTTTCTTTTCTTTTCTTTTTAATGCTGTTTTTGCACTACAAGTCTATTTTGGTGCCCTTTTCTTTTGGTGGAAGGGCAAGTATGAGGGATTGAACTCAGGGGTACTTTGCCACTGAGCTACATTCCCAACACTTTTTTATTGTTTACTTTGGGATAGGGTCTTGCTAAGTTACTTAGTTCCCCCCTCCCTCCGAATTCCTGAGGTGCACCTTGAACTTGTGATCCTCCTGCCTCAGTCTCCTAAGTTGCTGGTATTACAGGCCTGGACCACCATGCCTGACAAAATACATAACTCTTTACCAGGCAGGCAGTTCTAGATAGTTAAAAACATGGATTTAATGATGTCTGATGTGGCTATAAGTACCAATTCTAAGTTACTAAAGTTCCCCAGTCTTGGTTTTCTCAGCTGTCATAATGAGGTAGGACTGCACATCAAGAACTAAGCACATGGGCTGGGGATGTGGCTCAAGCGGTAGCGCGCTCGCCTGGCATGCGTGCGGCCTGGGTTCGATCCTCAGCACCACATACAAACAAAGATGTTGTGTCCACCGAGAACTAAAAAATAAATATTAAAAATTCTCTCTCTCTCTCCTCTCTCACTCTCTCTTTAAAAAAAAAAAAAAAAAAAGAACTAAGCACATTACCCCTCCATAGCAAGCCTTCAGGAAATGGTAGCTTATACTATGGGGAGGGGGGTTTTATTGTTCTTTTAATTTTTGTAACACATTTCAATCCTTTTATATTCTTTCTTTCTTTTTGTCTTTTTGTTTTAATCTTCCTTACCTACAGAAGTAGTATTAAGGCAAAGACACCCCCCCTTTTATAAAATTTCCACATGTCACCTGCAGTTTCTTAGTATAGTGACTATATCTACTGGCTGCTATATATTTACATCTATTGATTAAATATCAGCAAGGAGTCAAATGCTGTGAGCCCAGTGTTGTAGTCCCCTGTACAGGTTTTCATATTCACATGTTTAAGTGAGTTTTTATAAGCAAATAAAATATTGTAATATAGATCAGTCACTTATAAATAAATCTAAACAAAATAATCATAAAGTTACAGAATGAAGGATTTTATCTTAATGAATCTTGCCTTAGTCACTGATTTATCATATAAACATAACTGACCAGTCAGAAAAGTCTGTTGTATTGAAGTATATAGAGAATGACATATTGTCTTTAAAAAATGCTCAGATAGGCAGGGATGGGCGGCTGCACCGGGAGGAGTCTGCTAGAGCAGAATGTGAGCTCTCATCCCGGGATTGCTGTTAGGCAGGCGGCTACAGGTTAGGGGTGGCAAGGAGTCAGCTTGCCATTCAGCTGAGAGGAAGAAGAGCCCCTGGGAATGCACTGAGAGTATGAGGCTCTGGCCTCCCCAGGACACAAGGGATTGTGAACACTTCCACCACTACGGAGCCTTCCAAGCCTACTTCCTGCTGTGTGGTGATCTACCTGCATCGGGAGATGTCGGGGCACACATGTCTATGCCCAGCCTCAGGTGCCAAGCCCAAGCTAAGTGGCTTCAAGGGAGGAGAGCTGGACCACAAGTACGTGCAGCTCAATGTAGTCGGCTCCCTGTACTACACCACGGTGCAGGCACTCACCCGGCATGACACCATGCTCAAGGCCATGTTCAGTGGGCGCATGGAGGTGCTGACTGACAAAAAAAGGCTGGATCCTCATAGACCGATGTGGAAAGCACTTTGGCACCATTTTGAATCACCTCCGAGATGACACTATTACCCTCCCTCAAAACCTGCAAGAAATCAAAGAATTGATGGCTGAAGAAAAATATCACCTCATTCAGGGCCTGGTGAACATGTGCCAAACTGCCCTGCAGGACAAGAAGGACTCCTACCAGCCTGTGTCCAACATCCCCATCATCACATCCCTGAGGGAGGAGGACTGGCTCATCAAATCCTCCACCAAGCCCGTGGTGAAGCTGCTGTACAATAGAAGCAACAACAAGTATCCCTACACCAGCAACTCCGATGACCACTTGCTGAAAAACATAGAGCTGTTTGACCAGCTGTCCTTGCGCTTCAGTGGCCCCGTGCTCTTCATCAAGGATGTCATCAGTGACGAGATCTGCTGCTGGTCCTTCTATGGCCAGGGTCATAAGCT